GGTACAGTACAGTAAGTTTTCTTCTCAAAAACCTTTATTTCTACATTTGTTATGAACCACAAAGAACGACACAGTGACACCGGTGTGCCCGATACCCCCCCTTACCTGACACCCCGCTTACCTGACACCCGCTTACCCCAGCGTCTCCCAGTGCGGGAGACGCCCAGTACTCCTGTCCTGCCAGCGAGGCAGGCCTGGGAGCAGGACAGCACAGGAAGGGGGCAGGCAGGCAGCGAGATTGTACCTGCAGAAAGTGGGGGGCTTCTCCTGGAGCCGCTGTGTCCCGCGCATCCTAGCCAGGCCCTGGGGCAGCCAGTGGTCACCAGGCTTTCCGGGTACAGAGGGCCTCAGAGGGGCTTGGGGCAGCGGGCTCAGCGGGACTTAAGGCAGCGGGCTCAGAGGGGCTCGGGGGGCCCAGAGGGGCTCAGGAGGCCCAGAGGGACTGGGGAGGGGCTCAGAGGGACTCTGGAGACTTAGAGGGGCTCCGGGGGCTCAGAGGGATTCGGGGGGCTCAGAGGGACTGGAGGGCTCAGAGGGACTGGGCTCAGAGGGGCCCGCCAGGCCCAGTCAGCGCGGGTTCTCAGCCGGGTGCTGTGTGTTGGGGTCACCGCCGGCCTGGCCCGGTCCCCAGTGCACAGGGAGCCTGACTTGGTCGAGACAGCCCGGGCTGCAGGGCCTGTCCTGGCCCTGGGGGGGCCCCCCACCAACCCCCTCATTTAGAATTCCTTGTCTTCGCCACCACTTTTACGGCATCTTTATTCCTTCACACCTCCCCAGCATCTCCCTGCCCTTAGCTCCAGGGCCTTTCTGAAGTTTCGCAAAAGTGGTCCCTTTTTTTATTCACCGGTGAACACAGACATTAGACAAAAGGTGGGCAAAGAAAGCCACGTCCCATTTTTGAAGTTTATATTGTTAAAAATGTTTAATATAAAACTGTTAAATGATAAAGCTGTTTAATGGTAAAAATATCATTAAAATAACTTCATAATATTAAAAGGAGTCTTAGAATGGCTTTGACCCATCCTCTAGTCCCATTCACCTACCCTAGTTTGCCATTCTGCGTTCCAACATTCATCCAAAACTCTAGCCCAGGGCCTGTGAGCACCAGAGGTGTATTTGATGTTGTTTCCATGCTTTCTCTCACCGTGTTTCAGAAAGACCACCCTGAATTTAAAAGCCTGGAAACACCCCCTTGAGCCAACTTGCAAGTGTCCATCTCTGGACGCCGAGAGATGGCGTCCAGATGGCGTTTTAAGGGCGTCAGCCACTGTCCTTGATGCTGCCATTTTTACTAGTTTCTTCTTTTGCCAAGGCTTGGGGTGCCCGCCGAGGACCTCCCCCACACAGCAGAGCTCGGGGTGGAAGGCTGCGAGTGCCTGGCGCTTCTAGGTGCGCTGGCTGGCACACTGGTGACCCACTGCTTGCCTCCACCAGAGGGGACCTTGCCAAGGGCTCCCCGCGCTGCGCCCGCTGTGCCCGTCAGATGCAGAGCCTGTGCAGTCTAGTCTATGGGCGGGCAGCACAGGGCCCTTCCTGTTCTCCGCCATGCCAGAGTCCCCAAGCCCCAGCCCCGAGGCTGCCCACCTGAATCACACACCTCTAACCTCTGGGCTTTGAATGCCTCGCTGATTGAAAACGCTTCTCTTTCTTGCCCTACCTGTTCCTACCCCACGGGCCCCATCCACAGGGCCGCAGCCGGTGCTGTGTGGTTAGTCTCCAAGCTGAGGAGCCCGGCCTTGCCCTCACCGGGAAGGTGCTGGCTGGTCCCTACAGCGCCCTCCCACCCACCCCCAGGCCCACACACTCCCCCGGCTCCCGCCGTGTCCGACAGTCACTTCTGGGTTTGCCTAGCCTGGAAATCTCATACAAACGACTCATACAATATTTGATTATTTACGACTGGTTTTTATTTCACTTAGACTCATCCATGCTTCGAGAATGCTCTGGTTATTGTTCTGGGCTTTTGCTGCTAGGGGTTTTAGGCTCCTTTGTCAGTGCCCGCAGGGAGGCCAGCTGTCCCGCATCACACCCTTCGCATCTCCTGCCTCTGACTGAGCAGGCCCTCCCTGGGGGTGCAGTGGGTTACAGCACAGCACAAAGAAGCCTAAGCCACTTTCGCATGAGTTCGATTCCTGCCTGCCCCGGAGGTGACCACATGGCGTGGCAGACCTCTCCTGACCCGCCCGCTGCTCCCCTCAGCAGTGTGCTTCGTCGATCTGCCTGTTCTGCTCCCCGCTCTGTCTCTGGTGAAACCTCTCAGCCTCCACATCTCTGGCCTGTACCCCAGTTCTGTCTGAATAAACAAATAAATCTTAAAAAAAAAAAAAAAGTGCAGGAGCAACTTACACTGAGCTCAGCCAAGGCCAGGCCTCCCCAAATGCCGCCCTCTGACGTGAGGGTCAGTCAGCAGAGGCCAATCAAGGCCCCAGGCTCTGGAGAGCCCTCTTACCCTCCCTTAACCACCCAGAAGAGTGAGTGCTGGGGTCTTCCCCAGAATCAGGCTTCTCACCAGCAATAACCTGCTGGAGAAAACGGGCTGTACGGCAGGGAGACATGGCACTATGAAGCCCGCTTGCCCGAGCCCCTCCCCGGAAGACCCTCCTCCCTCCCGGCTGCCAGGCCCTGCCGGCTCCTTCGCTCAGAAGCAAATATCCCCTTTGCCCGTTTGTGTTCCAGTCTCTACCGGGGCAGTGTCCACACGCGACAGTGAAGCCGGCCGGCTGCCAAGCCGAGTCTGCACGTGGAGAGATGTTCCCATCCCAGGCCGTCTGTCACCGGCCCGGCCGCGAGGTCCTGCATGGGGGGGTGGGGGGGCGGCACCTGCACAGGCTGAGGCCCTCGCAGCCGGCCCTTTCCGCTCTGCACGGCAGCCCGAGGACCCTGCCTGCCTAGCTAGACACGCCTTTCCACCCCACTGGGGACCAC